CAACAATTTATGCTTAGCATAGGTAGGCATTCGCTTTGATTTATACTTTCCAAGTCTACTTCCGCAGCTTTGCAAGACTTTAGGACGAAATTTATTTTGGTTTAATGCAAGATGCTAACGTTCCCCTTTATGATGTATAGCAAATGTTAGCCCACCGACATTGAACTGACCCTAATATTTTGAAAAAATATCTGTACATAGATGCTCTTATCGGGATTATAGAAAATCCGCTGATATGTATATACGTCAGCCGCAACAGAGAGATACAGGAATGAAATATTATGAAATAATTTAAGTAATTAAATTTTACCAGAACATTCGATTTGCCAAAAGATCCGTGTCTTTAAAATAGCTTTAACTATGTTCGTAAGAATCAAGACAAAAATGTTTTTGATACATGGGAAATTTATTTTCCCAGCTCTCTTCTTATAGGTCAATTAAGCAAATATTGTTTATAAATTATTCACTTAGCCATTAGCCATAAAATACTATAAATAACTAAATAAAATACCTTGTATGTGGAATACACATATGTATGAGTTTTCTTATTTTTATTATTATTTTCTTATTAACCATTTTAGAGTTGTACAAATAAAAGACAAAATATTAGCAATAAACAGATAGATATTGACTAAATTTATATTTTATAATTTTTTTTATTTTAGTCATGCATCACGTTCTAAATATAACATACATATTTATTATTTTTAGTATTAGAGCATTACAGACAAGAAATTGTTAACAAAATAAAAAGAAATGCGAATACTTCAGTTACATATTTTCATTGTAACACTAATGTTGAACACCTTAATTCCTGTCATACGTGAAGCATTGTAATACATATATAAATTCTCTTTTGTATTTCAGGTGCTCCGCAGGTGCTTCGCCTGCATCCCTCCATGCACACAGTGTCCGTTAAGCGTGGCGAGCCAGCCAGCCTGACGATGGTCGTCTGCGCCGATCCACGGCCGCAGCTCGTGGCCTGGGAGTGGGGCTCGCTGCGCCTGGAGGCCGGCACGGGCATAGGTGCGTATACTTGACGTCAGCTCGCGCGCTTCATTGGACAGCTAATGCAAATATAATTAGATGCTCGCATGGGATTTTTCTTTTTCAATAAGCCGCAACTCAATTAACGCACATTCAAATGTGTGCGTGTAAGTGCGTGCGAATGAGTGTATTTGTGTAGCCAGCTCTGCCTCTCGGTTGAGTGCTCATTAACAAACCTTTTCCGCAAATTTGACACTGAACGAACGTGGATCATGTGCTACGTGTGACTAAACGGTAGACGGCAGAGAGCAGGACAACGCACAAATCAAGACAAATTACATGTCCAGGAGTCGGCAGCTTCGATGCCAAAACCAGACGAATGCCGCCATCATGTTGCTGTAGTGTGGCATTAGCATTGGCAGCCCTTCAGCTCGTTCGTCCATTGACGATGCTCGAGCAGACTTCCCACGCCTGTCAGCTGCCGGTAATCCCGGCTCGCAGCTGACAGCCGGACGCCATGCCAGCCCTGGCCTCGCATGGAGCTCGTTTTTCAGTCTAAACTGTGCTGCATAACGCATTTTGTGGAGCTGCAGTTGCAGCTGCAGCTGCACCGACAGCTGTGCTGATCCATCTCCAGCTTCGCCTGGCAACAAATCTAGCACATTATTCTTCATTTTCAGCTTGTCTGCGTGCGCATCCGACTGGCTGCCGTCCCTGTCGTCGCTGCCGTCTCTGCTGCAGTCCATCGGCTCCCGTCTGCCTCTCCGTGCGTGTAATCCGCCGTGCTTGCCACTGACAGGAATCAAGCAAAGCGCATTGCATGCCAAATCGCACGCAGCTTCGACTCCTAGTCGTTGCGTATTAGCCATGTTATCTGCGCCCATCAATTGTTCATTATTTGGAAAAGCTAAATTCTAATGATAAATTATTCATACCATAAGAAACGCCATTACTTCTCTCACTCAACCACTTCTCTCTCTCTCTCTCTCTCTCTCTCTCTCTCTCTCTGCCTAGATCGCTTTCGGGCCGACGACATGCTCACGGACTCGCGCGAGGACTGCTACCTGTCGACGCTGCACATCCACCACACGGACGAGCACGACTCGCGCCCCTACTACCTGGTGGTGGAGAACGAGCGGGGCACCGATCGCCATGCCATTCATTTGATTGTGGAGGGTACGTTTGCAGGTGCCTAGTGTTTTCTTTATTTTTCAATACCGTTTACACTTCAGTTGAAGAAAATAGTTTATTATTCCTCCTGCTATCACTATTATCTTTCACTTGAAAGTGTGTGCAGACTTTCTCCTACTTGTTCACTATTAACTGTAATGCATGCCAAACACCTACCAGATATTGCTCATACCTTCACTATATTCATTACTTAAATTAAATTCGAACCTTCTATACAATTGAAACTTCCTTTTGTGCTTGCAATCGACTGGCGTCCGCGATTATTCAATTATGGGAACACTTGCCGCAGAACCTCTGGAGATGAGCTACTTGCTGGGCGTCGCCGGCGGCTGCATGGCCGCCATTCTGATCCTGATCTGTCTGTGCATCTACGCCGTCAAGAGCAAAAAGTGCTGCTTCAAGGGTAAGTCGAAGGCCTGGCCAGGGGCAGCCAGCTGCTCATTAAAAATGATAAACTCGATTCGCTCAATGCGAGAGCAGCAGCAACAATTGCAGCTGCGCCAAACAATTGCCATTTCTCGGAGCGGGACGCATATTAATTACGCGGCGCTTCAAAGGGAATGCGCGTCGCAGCAATTAAAGCATTTGCCCCATTATGCCGCCAGATGGCGTTGGGCCTTACGGGCGGGCAGGACTCGCATTCGCTTGCCACATTTTGCTGTCATACTAATTGCAAAAACACAAAAACTTGCACCAAAGCCAAAACACACAGAAAACAACAACAACAACAATACAAAGCAACAGAACAGAAAAAGTAAAAAAACCGCGCCTTTTATTTACTTTTCTATTCTATTTTCTGGTGCTCCTCTTTCTGCGTTCTTTCTTGTTTTTCCTACTTCTTTGAAACTCAAATAAATCTCATAAAATATTCATTAGCGAGTTTTGCGCCGCCGACGCCTGCGGTCAGCTGGCTAACACAAAAGGGTTAAGGTCCTCCAAGGAACAACAATTATACATACACATTTACTACAGCAGATATATATATATATATATTTATTTTTATTGCTCTATGACTGTAAATGCGACTGCTTAAAGTCGCAAGGACTTCTGCTAGCAAGGCAGGAACAGGAGGCGTCGGTCGCCTAATTTGAAATCAAAATCGAGTTGCAAAAGTTTTCACTGAACGCGCAATTAAAATGCACATTTGTAAAAACAATTTACAAAACAGCAAAAGGAAAACAATTTACAAAACAGAAAAAACGTGCTGAGAAAAAGAAAAGTTTTCGTTGGGAAACATGCTCAAGGACATCCAAGGAAACTTTTGTGGAGTCGAGCTTTAAGGAATTCGCCCAGGGACTTGCACTGGCCAATTGGCCTGCTACCTGGCAAAGTGCAAAACTTGAGTTCTAAATAAGGCTAAATTCCCAAATAGCACAGCGCGTGCAATTTCTCAGTTGTCAATCAAAATGTCAATTTACAAACAGGCGCAGGAGTAGCAGGAGCAGCAGCAGCAGACGTGAAAATTGCTGCAGCTGGCGCCGATTGCCAACTTATCGAATGGCATTTGACAGATCTTTCTTTCACACACACACACACACACAGATACACAAACAGTGACGAAATCCATCAAAATTACCCCGCTCTCACGACCGAGCTTAGGGTAACTTAACACCTCTTGGCCGTCAATGGGTTCACGGCTCATTTGTCAAAATGTTGAAGCAGCAGATGCAAATGTATCTGTATATGTATCTGTATCTGCAAAGGCATCTATCTATCCATGTCTGTCTCTCTGTCTGTCTGGGTGTCACATATGTAAGTGAGCTTGGCTTTTACTCAGTTTTAAGTGCCAGCATGGCTCACCAATAGACTATATATACTACCTATGCCATGTATAAATATATGTTTCCAGCGACTATACAAAGCAATTCTCTCATATGTATTATTTTTACTCGCCTTTGCAGGTTCCACGGGCTATAAATCATCGGATAAGGACAGGTAAGTTGAGGCGAAACACAGACCACTCACACACACACACACACATGCACACTCACACACACAGAAAGCGCACAACAAATGGCCGGTTATGATACATTTTTATAAAGGGCAAAAGCAATGCAGCTTGTGGCCAACAGGTGGCGCTGGCATGCCAATTTATGCGTCCCGACTGGCCACACCCACGCACTCGCTCACCTCCCCCGCCCATGAATAATGTGGGCAGCGTGTGATTGTGCAGAGTATGAAATATTCTATGCTATATTATATATTCAATATTGCAAAGTCGGCTTTTGGAAAATATTTTCCAGTTTTGCGCGCAACGTCAAGCAAACCTGCATGTACACTCACACACACGCATGCCAACAATGCGCAACACGCCCCTTAACAATCGCTCATTGCCGCCCCTCATTTCGTCCTGACATGAGTTATGAGGCTGTGGCAGTTATTTGGCTCTCGGCTACACTCGCTCCTCTTTCTCTGCCTCTGCCTCTGCCCCTCTCCATTTGTCCATTTAAAAATTACCATATTATGAAATTTATGAAATACCCTCTCGGACACACACACACACAAACACACACACACAGGCAAGTCAAAAATTACAAAGAATAGTTTTTGTGTGTCGGTAGAGCGGAAATGGATTTTGAATTTCCGTTATAAGCCTAGTTGGCAACGCCGCAGCCGCATTTCCAGCGGCATTTATTATTTATGCGCGCCAAGCGGCAACACAAACCCAGAAACTAGGCCCCAAACAACTAACAACCGAATTCATACAATTTTTGTATCAATCAAAGCGTAACGAAAGATTTTGTCAAGCGCTCCAACCCCCGAGGGATCTCGTTGGGATTTAATAACCAACGACCAATCCACCACGCCAGCTCCACGTCCACAATGCCAAAGGGCACACGAAATAGCTGGATATTTAGATGTGCGATTGGCATGAAATATGCCAATCAAACGGCAGCAAATTAGACCAAGCAGCGACTATTGTGTGCCAGAATATGAAATGCCCTGGAATATGTTGTATATAAGCTGAACTTTGCTTATATAAAGTTTATAGGCGTTTTCAAAAGAATCAGAGCTTACGAATATATGGAAAATAAAACGAAACACGTAAATAAAGATAAGTCAATAATTCTTCAGATAAAAATAAAAAGGTGAAAATAAAATGGTAAAAATAAAAAAATAATCTAAGAATCAGACATACATATGTAAACCAGGGCAGAACTGAAAAATAAATAAATAAAAGCCATTAAAGGACAAATATTAAAGCATAATTAATTTACATTAACTCAAAGATTAACGGATTTATGTCAATCTTATCTAAAGTAAATAAATATATGGTAGTAATAGGCAAAAATGTATTAAAACATACACAAATTATAGAAATATAGAATAGAACGACTCAAAATTATTATTGTATTATTCACTGATTCATAAATGGAACAATATAAATAGATTTATATTTACGCAAACAATTTTTAAGTATTAGATTTTTATGAACCCAGCGCAGATCTCAGCATTTCACACACATCAATTCCTATCTACCGCACACAATACGCTCTCTCTTGGTCTGATTAGAAAAGTATTCGATAACAATTTCTTTCTTTCTCTTTCCCTTTCGCCCGCAGCGAGAAGGCTGATTTGAAATCACGGTCGGATAGCACCAGTGGGCCCCAAGGTGATTCGATTTACACAACGCCTGCCGGCTTCCATCATCACCAGCAACAGCAGCAGCAGCAGCAGCAGCAACAGCAGCAGCAGGCGGCAGCTGCCGCCGCAGCGGCATTGCACGCCGCCTCGCAGCACCCACAGCAACAATATCCGGGACATGGATCGCCGGAGGCAATGAAGGTACGCATGGCTGCAATGATATTACAACCGCCCACTAGGGTCTAGCAGGCAGTTGATAACGAAAGCAACGAGCTTATCTATCAACAACAGCAAGCCCAACAACAACAACAACAACATGAACATGATAATAGTAATGCCAACACAAACACAAACACGAACAACAACAATAATAGTATAACTAACACAACAACAACAACAACACCGACTGCAACTGCAACTG